CTTATTCATTTACTGACCCACTAACTTATTTATTTATTTACCCGCTAACTTATTTGTTTGTTTATTTATTTATTTATGTACTTACCCACTAACTTATTTATTTATGTGCTTTCCCACTAACTTATTTATTTATGTACTTATCCACTAACTTATTTATTTACCCACTAACTTATTTATTTGCTTACCCACTAACTTATTTATTTATTGACCCACTAACTTATTATTTGTTTGTTTGTTTATTTATGTACTTACCCACTAACTTATTTATTTACTTACCCACTAACTTATTTATTAATTGACCCACTAACTTATTTGTTTGTTTATTTATGTACTTACCCACTAACTTATTTATTTATGTACTTTCCCACTAACTTATTTATTTATGTACTTACCCACTAAATTATTTATTTACTTACCCACTAACTTATTTATGTACCTACCCACTAACTTATTTATTTTACATACCTACCCACTTTATTTATTTATTTATTGTGGTCTTGAATGGTTTAATTATTGCCATTTACCTATTGGGTTTATTTAACATTATGGACTTGCCTACATATTTATTGCGGTCTATTTATTGCCTTTATACATATCTGCAGATTGATTTGGCTTTTCACTTGCAGACATATCTATGGTTTTATAATATGTGTACTTCCCAACTAATTTAATCTATTTAATGACTGATACTTAACATTTATTTCTTGCAGTATTTATTACTTATTGGTGTCTTTTTATTGGCATTTTTACCTGTCGGTTGATAGACTTGCTGGCTTGTTTATTCATTTAACCTATTTATTGTATATTTGATCTATTTAATGATTCATTTACTTACCAACTAATATATATTTATTATCTTTGATAGTTGAAAAAAAGACTATCTGGAATGATTTTATTTATCAACTTGCTGTCATCCATCTATCTATTTAAACACTAGTTTATTTATTATATAGTTGCTCTATTTAATGATTTTATTTGCACAGTAATTATTTATTGCACACTATGGTTTTATTTATTTTGGTAACTTATTTAAGCTATTTATTTATTTGCTTTGTTTGCTAGCCTCTTGATCTGTATTCCCTTTCTTGATTGTTGGTGGGTGGTGGTATTTATATGCACACTTACTAACTTATTTATTGCACACTTTATTGGCATCTTGATCTGTTCTTTGCCTGTTTTACCTATCAGGGGATTTATTGACATTAATTACTTGCTGGCTTATTTATTTTCTTACCACTCTGCTCATTTATTGATTTGGTGTTTGATTATTTATTGTCTTTATGATTTTAATGATGAATTCATTTACTTATTTAGTCACTACCTTATTTATTGTCTTCATCTACATAATTTCATTTACTCACTCTATTTATATACCTATATATATATCTTTAATTATTAGCTTCTTGATTTTTATTTATTGTCATTTGCTATATTTATTGTCTTCATTTATTTATTGATTTAGTGATTGATTTCATTTCTATATATTGGACTGCTGGTATATTTAATTATTTTTTATTTCCTACTTGATCTATTTCTTTTCTTTCTTTCCCAATGATTGATTTTATATATTTTCTGGTTTGCATATTTATGTTTCTATATATCACTTTTTGTCTATGTATATATTGTTATGTTTTTAATGAGCATTTTATTGGTTAATTTCATTTGCAGGTATAATTTATTCAATCTATTTATTGACTTTCTATCTATTGATTTGAGTTAATAACTTGCTGGTATGCTTATTTTCATTTTTCAAGTGAATTATTTATTTGTTCATTCATCTATTGTCTTGATTTATTTAATGATTAACTTACTTAGTGACTACCTACTGTTTTCTAGATCTAGTTTATTGGCTTACTGCTATATCAATTAATGTATTGAATGATCAATTGCTTTCTGATCTGTTTAATTATATATATATTAGTTCTATGAAACCCTGGATCTCACTGTTACTCTGATACTGATATGATGGTCAGTTTTTGTCTCTACATTTAGTGTTCATTTAAATGTTTAATTATATTTTGATGCTAGGGATTGAATATTAGGGCCTTGTGTACTGTCATTATCTTTAGTGTTAAAATGCAGTGTACAGACATTTGTATGAATTCTTAAATTTTATGGTTCCGTTTATTTTGTTCATCTTTGGTCTTGTAATATAACTCTGTAAAACTCATAATATTCCTGCCTCTGCCTCCCAAGTGTGGTGCTACAGCCTTGCATTATTGCATTACTCCCATCTAGCAGATTCATTTATTTAATTATTGAGACAGAGGCAGATACACTGAAAGAATTCATGAATGAGCATTGAGATTAGACATAAGACCTACTGCATCTCACTAGGTAACTAACCATACACTTAGCCTGGACACTTCACATTATTTTTTTCAGGGCTGGTAATTTAGCCCAGAATCTTATTTATGTGAAGGAACTAATGTCACTGAAGCATAACTGTAAACTTTGAGTGTCTTTCTAAAGCAGGCCCCTCGCTGTCTTTCCTACCACACCAGTACCAAGTATCCACAACCACATACCACATTACAATTGTTACCTAGGATTTTAGTAAATACCTTGTCAAAGACCTTGGCTGGATTTATGATGAGCTGTGTTTACTGAGCATGATGAAATGAGGCTCAAAGTGATGATTACTCTGAAATCTAGCCAAAGTGTCATTTTAATGACTTAGGTAACAAAGTTAATTTATTCCCAAGGAGACTGGAGCTGTAGATCTTTTCACTATAACAAACTTGGTTTTATACCTATTCATTCCCTGTTGTAAAGTGCCTCCATATTCCCATCCTGCAGTAGCTTTCACCCTGCTTTCCTTCTGCTATAGAAACCTGAGAAAGACATTGGAAGCTAATGTCTTCCTTCCAGTCATCAAGTTCTTACCCTCTGATAATTTCTGGAGCCTGTTCTTAGTCATTCTCAATTTAAGATACTCATTGATTTTTTTTTCCTTTGAATGAGATATTTAGAGAATGAGTGTGAATCCAGAGAAGTTAGTGTATATTTATCCTCACAATGCATTTCAATAGAGTGTTAGTCTGATTTAAATTAACTCTGATTCCTGATATTGAGTATGAATAATTATTTTATAAACATCAGTTAGTTTATTTTCATTTTTGGGCAGTAAGATACCTTATTGCTATTTTCAAACACTTGATTTGGCAGAGCCTGGAAGATTGCATCTATACCACTTGTTTTTGTTCCTCTTCAGCTTTGATTTTATATAGTAGCTACTGCTGTAGTATTTTTTTTACTGTGGAAAATTCACATGCCTTTGTTAGATTTACTTCTGAACCTTTGCATATCTGCTTGAAGATACAAGTAGATTTTATACAGTTGTAAAATGTACTTTGGTTAGAATAATTTTTATAACTGATAAAATTTAAATATATACTAACTTACTGGGATAATTTGGTTAACATGGAATTCTACAATGATTCTTGATTGATAACATATTATCTTACATGGTTCAGAGTCAAACCAGAAAAGTAATTTTATTGTACTTTATTTTTTGGTTTATTTAGTAAAAGTTAAAAGAAGATGGTATGTGTAGAGGTTTTTCAAATGATTACTGTAATAAAATAACTTAATACAAGGTAAAATTTCTGTTACTTCCTGGTAAAATCAGTTCTAAAGGATTATGGAAAACAGTGAATTTTATGTTTATGTTAGAGTGGCTAAGGTTGGTCTGAAACTAGGGGTCATGAGAAGTGCAATTAAATATAACTTGGGAAATTACATTTATGGAGTCATACAAGTATTATTTCATGTCATCTTGATCCTAAGATCACAAATCACATGTTTGTTAAAGTATATAAGAAATATTTTTATAGTTTTAGGCATAAAAATGGGCTTTCTAGTTCAAGGCCTCATATTTTTACGATTATTTTAGCTGGCTTTCAATGAGCACTCACTTGGTAACATTACTATTTAGTTCAGGATGATTTATATATAGTAATCATGGTTATGTGTTTGTCAGAGAAGCTTACCCTAATTTGAGTAACTGATCTCTATGTCATGATAAAATTCATGATGGAACATAGCCCTGTTATAATATCTACGATTGAATGTACACAGCTACATTATAACAGAATAATGCACCATTTGTTATTTTAACGTTATATAGAATGTTGATTGATATTTTGCATTTGAAGATAATTAACTTATTAGAATGACTTTTGCTTGTTCATGAATTTCTAGACTCAGGGCCATAGTAAAGGATGTAGTAGATAAGAGGGTACAATTTAAGTGAGATGATCTGTGTCATGGCTTTACCCAAATAAGTAATTTGTGGGTGAATCTGAACATCTTTAACTTAATGATAGGAAAGATGTCTATGAACAGAAAACACTGCTTTATGCTGTGTTTAAAGAGTTGTGGTTATATAGGGTAAAGACTACTCAAAACACACGATGGACTAATATGCCATTGTGTATCTAAAAGATCTAGCAAGGTAGATGTCTAATGGAAAATTTCTGCTTACTCTTTTGAGATGTGTTGTGTAAAATTTGAATTGTATTGTGCATATTTGAAATAGCATCATTTAAGTCCATAAGTCATGTGTTTATATAAAATTATTTTTTTCTACATTTGTACCACATCTTTATTAACATAATTTATAGGGGTTTTATTACATGAAATATGTGAAATGTAAAATTTCTGCTGTTCTTGATATAAGTGTGGTTGTCCCATGTATTTACATGTATGTGAATAGTTTTATATACATATTAACTCATAAGTATCTATACTAGTCACTAAAATGAAACTTTTGGTTTCACCAGAGATTATTACATGGTTTCATAAGTGGTATGATATGATAACAGAGATTGGTTTTTGTGTTTGTTCATTGTGAACTGTGAAATGTTAAGGGCCAACATTGTTTTTAATTTTGCTCATTGTGAATGGTGAAATGTTAAGTAAGGGCCAACATTGCCTTCAATTGGAATTGATGTATCATACAGTTCTAGTTATCAAACACCAGGTTTCTATCAGTGAATCTTCCATGTTTCCATGTATCAGTCATGTTTTTAGAAATTAAGTCAGTGAGCTACATAAGATTTGATCACCATCCCCCTGTTTACATGTGTGGGACTTCGCATTATGTACTGCAGACTTTCTAACTAGTCCCGTAAAATTTTCAACTTGTTTCTGTATTTGTTTTTATTCATTTTTTTTAAAAAAAATCTGACCTCACGGTGTTTAACTACTGCTGAAGTAGTAGACTAACTGTAGAGTGTCTCAAATTCTTAGATTTGTAGAAACACCAACTGCCATATGCACATGGTGTTACTAATATCTGTTCAGTCATAACATTAGAGGTATCATACTATTTTGTACTTAATTTATATGAGGTTTATTTGTGTGTATATGTATCATACTATTTTGTACTTAATTTATATGAGGTTTATTTGTGTGTATATGTATCATACTATTTTGTACTTAATTTATATGAGGTTTATTTGTGAGTGTATATATATATATTTATGTGTGTATATAGATACATTGTGTATAGATACAGATAGTTTTTATGTATATTCAGATACT